TTGTAGCTAATAACAAAACCTACAAAAGTTCAATACATTATTTTGCGGAATTCTGTTCATGAAAAAAGCAAATGAATGTAAATGAATGTACGAAATGAATGCAAATGATTTTCCATGTCTGATGCTATCACGGTATCATGGAAAAGCCTCGTTTTGTGATGACATAATTACCCATTTCCGTGCACAAAACGCACAAAATCTTTGGCTTTTTCCATAAATGAAAAATATGCGAAAATTGATTGTAGGAATCGAGGATGGATGACCTTGACAAATGTTCAAATAATACTCTTTAACAAATGTATAGTGGTCCTGAGAAGGATTATTATTATTATTTAACTTTATTAATGAGGCTTTCAGTCTTGGGCTGGTTCGCCTCCACCCTGAGAAGGACCGTTTTATCGTGATGGTTGAGTAATGCTGAGCTGGGTGTTTAACACGGATGAGGCTGTCGAGCTGTATGTTATTTGATGCAAGGGTGACACGCTTGGCATAGATGACCGATCCGCAACGGCTTACGAAGGGCTACTGATTCTGATTCTAGCGGTGGGACTTCTTCCTCCTATGGTTGCTTATGTGGGCTCTGCAGCACGCTGCTTGCAGGCAACCTTTCGTAGCGTACTGGAGAACAATGTTCAACGACACGCCAAAAGCAATGCTGCTGCTGCTACTACTGCTGCTACTGATGCTGCTGTTGCGGACACCGTCGACCGGACACCACCACACACGGTGATTGAATGAGCACCATTCAGTGAGACAGGATCGAATTCGATTTTTAAATCTGTGTTAGGGAATGCGCTGATTTCAGGCAATTGGTGATAATTTTGATCACCATTGCAACAGTTGGGCATTTGTGTATTTTTCAATAGTGACCTTTTAAGTGTTCATTTTTAGCAGATTGGTAGATACATTTCCAATCTTTTGGTTTGTTCAGAATTAAAATCCATCTGCTATTGATAGAAACCTGACCAATTGTCGAGATGCGGTCGATTTTGGTTTTTTGAAAATGCGTGGATTCTATAGATCCTGTGGAGATCTATCTAGCCCTGACGTATGTATTGGGAGGAAAAAATGTAAACTTTGCGGGAGACGATGTTATAGCATTCGAAAGTAATTTGTGAAATATGAAGTTAAACAAATCCTAGCTAGTTCTACTTTGATGATTTTGTATGATTGTATTATTTTGTAAAGCCGCCGGGAAATACCAGCTGGCGATTTGTTTTTTTTTTTTATGATAACTCCTTACTAGAAAACAGGCAAAAACTTACATACATGGTATACAGTGCAATAATTCAATAATCAATTAATTATCTCAACATTTAGTGGTAGACCATTCATAAATTTCGGTAACATACAAGAAATTCTATAATCCATATTAAATTTCCTATGTAAGCGCCGATCGAAACAAACTTTTTGACGTCACTACAAGGGTGATTGAGTAAACGAATGAAACGAATCGTGCGAAGCGGAATGAACATCGAGTGAAAACGAATTGCACCAATACAGTCAGGCCTACAATTCCAGGTTGAGCCTTGATAGTTAGCTGCTTGCGGGAACTGACATCCGATTGATGACCTTTACAAATGTCCAAAACATACTCTTTAACAAATTTGTGGTGGTCCTGAAAAGGACCATTTAGTCGTGAAGGTTGAGTAATGCTGAGCTATTAGGGTGTTCAGCACGGATGAGGCTGGCGAGCTGTTAATTGTTTGGAGCAAGGTTGACGCGCTAGGCATTATGACCCACAGCTACTCACGAGGAAACTGATTTCGATCGCGGTGCGGCTTCTTCTTCCTTCTATGGATGCTCGCTGCTTTCAGGCTGCCTTTCGTGGTGTACTGGATAACGATGTTCAACGCCACACGCCGAAAGCACTACTGCTACTGATGCTGCTGCTGCGGACACTGTCGACCGGACACCACCACACACGGTGATTAAATGAGCACCGTTTAGAGAGACAGGATCGAATTCGATTTTTAAATCTGTGTTAGGGAATGCGCTATTTGTAAGTAATCAGTTGGACATGGTGTATTTTTCAATAGTGACCTATTGAAAATTAGTAAAGTGTTCATTTTAGCAATTTGCTAGATAACTGTGAAAAAGTCGAATACTTCATCATTTCTCAATAGTGATGGAGTAATACGACATGCACTAAACTAAGGACACGGGATATACTACAATAGATCAATTTACTGGTCGCAGTAGTGTTAGGTCCCGAACAGAGGAAAAAAAATTAAATCATTATAATCAACTATCAAAGTTACCCGCATTATCAAAGATACCTTGTTTTACGGTACTTTAAAATTGAGTTAAGCTTTACGCATATAAAATCTAGAAACTCAAAAGAAGGCTTAAATAATTTAAGTCCATTCATCTTCAAATAAATTTGCAAAGTACATAACAACCAAGATAATACAGCAAATGAGCAGATCCACGCAGATTCACAAATCGATTCGGCTAGAAGATTTTTGTAACTTTTCACAGATGTTAGTGTTGGCCTAGGTTGTTTTTATTTTTACTTGAATGATTTTTATTTTTGGTAGTCGAACTTGAGTGAAAATGATCAAACGTAAATGAAAGTCTCCGCAATGTTTTATTAAAACAGTGAAAAAATATGTATAAAATTCAATCCAATATTACGGTTTAAAATTGTCCACTAATAATTAATGATAGTTACGCTATTCATTTCACAAAACTTTCTACACTGAAAATATTTTTTCGTTAATTCTCTCATGCCCATTTTGTAAAAATGGGTTTAGTAGATATAACATATTTTTCGTATATTGTACGAAGCATTTGTATGGTATGTTATCAGGCATCATGCTAACATTACGCTTAGTTCGTACAATACAAGAACTGAATTTCGTATGGACGTAGATACTGCCTTCGTAAATCATTAGTACGTTCGTGTAAACTACGTTCACCTACGAAAATCATTCGTGCATTATAGCATTGGACGCTCATTAATATTATGAAATAGTCCGTATGTGAAACGAATTTTTTTAAAGTACAATCACAGCTAGAAGGAAAAATATATATGTGAGCGAAAGTTTCTCGTTTCGTTCGATATCATCCATGGACTGTAGTGTTGATTTTTGTTTGGTCCGATTCCAGCGCCAAAAACGCGCCACGGAGGAGCAAACATGGCTCATGCTGGGAGTCCAGTCATAAGCTATGTCTATCCTCGCCCTGACCATGGTTACCTGAGAGCAATCAAGATAATGGATGCGACAAATACGTTTTCATCGAGGGCTATCGGGAAGATCACGGTCCCTGATGAGGTGAGTAATTATCATCGTTTTGCAATTTTCACTGGAACTAATCTTTGTTTTTCCAATATAAATAGCCTGTCAATCGTTGTCTAGACGAAAGAGCAGCCGACGTGAATTTATCGGTGGACATGATCTTGGACATAGCCGACTCAACAAATCCCCATGGCTAAATATTTTAGCGAGAACGTGCCACTGACTAGTCGGGAAGGCGTTGGGCTGTTCATCGGAGAGATGCTGCCGTGGCGTAGGATATGACCTTTGATTCGTGCTGCGGTTTTCAGAAGCTCCTGATGCAGATTGAAAGAACCACCATTGGTATGTGATGGTTTTATTTTAAAGATTAAATAATCAATAAAAGCTTGCAAAAAAGACTATTTTATTTTGCAACTAAATGTTCGTGTCTATTTGTATAGCTTTACGTAAATTTTGTTGTGAGTATACGGATGATTCGTAATATTTTCATTCCTTCGATTTTTTTTCAAACGAATATATTCGTATTTAGTTTAAAATATATTCGTTTTTAGTTTAAAATATATTCATATTTAGTTTAAAATATATTCGTAGCAAGAGTGGCAACGCTACGTAAAATACACGAATGTTAGGAAGTGAATGATTTTGGAATTTTAAACTAATAAGTTTCTTAGAACGTGCGAATATTGTTCGTTGCAGAAAACAACGAAAAAAATCGTGAAGCAAACGAACGCTTTCGTTGCATAAACTAAATTTTATTTTCAGTGTAGATATTGTGACCTGTGTACCAGTACAGGTTTAAAAAATAACCATATTTAGAAAAATACTGAAAAAAGTAATCGATTTGCTTCAGATTACAGTACCGTAAAACGGGGTATTTTTGATAATGCGGGTAACTTTGATCGTATAATTTAAAGATTAAATGTACTCGCTGCGCTTTTTCTAAATTAGAAATATTGCTTTCATATTGTAGCTTAAGGTATTTCCATTGATATGGTATATAGTTTTTATATAGTATGTGTTACATATTTTACAAACATATTAAAACATAATTTTCGTATTTTCACCTGTTTGAAAAAGCACTCAAATCATCACTTATGAAATGTGTTTCCGATACAGCCATCACAAATTCAAAGTTGTATTCTTTTTGCCTATGATGTTTTTTGATTATATACTCATTCAAAGTTTCATGTTTAAAGAAATAAAATGTTTGAGCTTCACCCATTTTTTTCTACATTCATCGAGTATTATCAAAGTAACCCCAAATAAAAATAATGATGTTCGGTCACAAAACTAAAAAAAAAAAAAGTGCTAATGCATTAATTTCCGTTAAACAAAGTACTAATTAATTTACTCTTGGATCCTCAGTACTTGTTTTAAAAATATAAAATTTGAAAAATAATCATTGCTGCAAAAAAAATATACTTAAAAAAAACTATCAATGTTACCCCGTTTTACGGTACTTCAAGGATTTTATATACGCTTTTTAAAAGATTCTCGAACAGTTCAAGCGATATAAATAATAAATTAATATTGGTTGACCATAAGTATCGATTCATCGAGTAAATAATCCATATCTTCCTGAGTCATACAATTCTGATTGATATGATCCAAAATTAATTTCATCCATCGGCAGCCATAGTACAATTATTAAATGACGGTGCAATGTCCTGCCGAGCCTTTCGTCGGATAAATCGTTTCCTGTTACAAGTCAAATACAACACCCATCGAGTGTAACAGACAGCTGACGATACAACTTACCTATCGATGGAAATGGCCATCAGCGTGAAAACGGACGCACAGATGCTGAGTATTGCCACAAATTGCGATATTTTACAATACAGGTTGCCGAACGGCCAGTCGAGATTCAGCATGTAAGTGTAATTGAATGTGACGTTGAGTGTCGAAACCATCGCATCAGCTACCGATAAATTCACTGATAACAAAACAGAGGAAAGTAATAGAAAGTGATTTACGCTCTTCATTGATTTACCCCCGTCTAAGAGAAGAGAGTTAATTTACACACCACTTACCAAGAAAGTAGTTGGTCACAGTTCGCATTCTTTTGTGGGCCAGCACAATCCAGACAACGACCAAGTTTCCCACTGTGGCGACGATAACCATACATACGAACAGTAGGGTCCACAACACTTGCCGCCACACCGGAAGTATGAAGGTGATCTCCAATGTCGTACTGAAAGAAATATATATCGGAATAAATATGTTAAATGCTGAAATGAGAATTCGAAATGAAATATGTTTGTGTATGGGTTCAATCAAATGTAGATTTCAATATTATATCAAATTTTTCAAATTTATTCATCAGAATGCTGATGACGTTAAAAAATTGAAGGATTTTTTTTCGGACGAAGCAATTAACAATAAAAGTTACTCTTGCAATAAATGTATATCTTTTACGATGACAACGAAACTGCTACCATGCAATCATTTTTATAATGTTTATCCTGGTATTATTGTTTATCGTTTCGATGATGAGCAATAAGAAACATGTATCTTATCACGTTGTTTTTTTATTATTATTTTATTCTATTTCTATTGTATCACTTTCACTATTCACTATTCACTACTCAATTTCGCTATTCACTTTGAAAGTGAATAATGAAATTGAATAGCGAAATTGAAAATGGAGCTTAGCCCGAGCAGGATAAAATAACTAATGAATACCTAATTCTGATCCGATACCAAAATTTGGTGTTGATCAGCATGACATAAGAGGTAAAATACCAAAAAGTATTACCAAAAAAATGCATGCAAAATATTTTGTAAATAACTAAAAATGATATTTGCATACCAAAATAATACCATTGTGGTATTGTTTTGGTATTGCATTATCATAATTTTGTGTTGAAATGGTATCGTGGGAACATTTTTTTGGTATTATTTTTTGGTATTTTACCTCTTATGTCAGGCTCATCCATACCATTCGTTCCTGCTCGGGATATTCGTTCCTGCTCGAGAGACGCATCGCCAGGGCTCTAAAATTTCTGGAACTAAAACGTGCGTGCCAGCTGTGGTTCATTTTCGTGACAAATGTTGCTGGTAATTAAAGGTAAAGGGAGAGAGATTTGAGTTAAAGTATGCTTAGTTGAAGGTTATATATGTATATCTAAATTTACTGATGTCAAAAAATCATGAAAGCGTTCAATTGAACACCGATTTTTTGTTTTGGACACTTTGATAATTCTCGATTAATGTACAAAAAATATGTGTGAAACTCAAACAATTTAGTTCGAGAAATATGAAACCTTGAATCAGTAATAATAAGACATCATTTAATTTGTGATGGCTGTATCGGAGATACATTTAATAAGTTTTTTTAAGTGCCTTTTCAAACAGGTGAAATAAAAGAATTTTTTTTATTCAGATATTTGGAAAATATGTAACACGTATTGTCTAAAAACTCTGTAAGATATCATGTTTACAATACAATTACACTATATTCTACTATCTTAGCTACCCGTATTATCAAAGATACCCCGTTTTACGGTACGTATATTGCCTCTCATTTATGAAGCAAAATTTTAGATCATTTTGTCCTGGTTAGCAGTGTTTCATGTGTTACTACTATACCACTCCTGGAACCGCTTTTGAATTTTCTGTAAATATTTGGGTGCTGCATGGTGTGTAAAAACTGTATGTAAAATAATTTCGTAACAAATTTTTCAACCCAAACCCAAAATATTTTTATAATAAAATAAAGATCTCCGAGTATTTATGTCACGTCCTTCTTTAAAAGTTAACCATGAACAACAATCTAAAAACTAATTCTTTAAGGGACGGGTACCATTTTAGATTTAGTAGTTCTTATGAGATTTCGGGCAGCGTATTTTTGTTTTTTTTTTATCCATCGATCCAGTATATTTTTTTTACTATTTCAATGTTTGCCCAGACAACCAGAATGCACGTATATTCAAAGTTTTTTTTTTCTGTGATATACAAACATATATACAAACAAACAAATCGTATAGAATGAAAAAAGGGCCTAAACCTACAAAAGTGGAGGCCATATACGTGCAAATTTTAATTTCTTTTTAAACGAGTTGATTTCACATTATATACGATTTAATCTGTAATAAAAAATTCGATTTGGAAAGTCTTACGATGTAATCCGATTTAATTTGTGATAAAGCACGATGATAAAATGATTAATCGTATATAAGTCGAAAATTTGCATTCTATACGATTTAACTTAAACATAATGCTAAGTTTGTCATACTTATATGCGATATTGATTCAAACTGTAGTTATTTACAATACTGTCTGTACATTTTTACACGACTTCTGGTTGTCTGGGTGAGAAGTCCTAACATCCAGGACATAAATAATTGAAGAACCTTTATTCATTTTAAAATATTTTGTTATAGATTTGTAAAGAACAAAATGACTTCAACTTATTTTCGATAGAGTCCTTAGTGCACTTATTATTATTAGAGTGCATACTTAAATGGCACAACTATAGGGTGGAGCGCTACTTTGTCGTAATCACCCAATTCCGTTCTATCGATAAGAAAAGATCAATAATATCAATGATTTCACCGTGCACAGATCAACAATAAGTTTGTTCCGATGCGTTAGTTCATTAGTTACAACATAAATCCAATTAGAGCACATTGTATGAATATTTACACTCATTGTTCTCAAAAAAAAAAAAAAGAAGCGCTCCTAGCGAATCCCCTTTTTCTACGTTTATCCGTAAGACGAAGAAAATCTAATGGCGATTCAATACGTTAGGACGGAATTAAAATTCGTAGAACGAATTTAGAATCAAGAAGCAATATTAGATTTTAAACAATATCTCAACAATTTTGACTCTTTATCAAATCCAACGGTAAACCCCAAAAACACTACATGGTCCATTAGATATCACGCACGAGTCACGAAGGTCATGAAAAATATCGTAATGGTCCGTGAATCCAGACATATAATTTTTAATGATTTATTTCGTCTACTTTGCAACATAATAAACATGTGTACGTGATATATTGAGCATAGGAGGCATTGTTAATCAACTTTTTATAGTGCCTTGATTTATGGACTAAGTCAGGCATAACATTTGATAACGACACAAAAGCATTTGTAAACAAACTTCCTAAGGCCCTTTACACGTGAATCAAAGTATGCCCACGCAAACCAATGCCACTTTCGGAAAGGTGATAGTTGCCCCTATCCGATGATATTGTTGGTTTGCGTGGGCGTACTTTGGTTCGCGTGTAAAGGACCTTAGAAAGTTTGTTTACAAATTATTTTGTGCCGTTATCAAATGTTATGCCTGCAATAACGGTAATAGTTATTTTCTCTTACTTGCTGTTCTGTAAGTTTCTGTACAGCAAAAAGCAGAAGTATGTTCCCGCACTTTTTGCAGCGTATGATTTTCTTTCAGCAACTTACAGAAAAAGCCAGTTAGCAACTATGGGAACAGACCTTTTGATAATATTGGAAATTTCTTGCAATTAGTTTCAAACGAATACTTACTTCGTGATGTTACTTCCGTACGCGATGGAGGGTGTAGAGTACAATGAGGCATCGTCAATATTGAAGAATGAATAGTTGGAATATTCATATTTATCACTAGCATTGTTGACACTACTGTAATCATGGGATGTGATATGTGCACCGTTTAACATGTTGCGTTTCTACGCATAAAAATTGTGTTAAACTTTTTCAGAGATCAACAGGTAGCACTGAGGTTGACGAACACATAATCATGTTAACTGCAGGTCTATGGGAACGTTGTAAAGTTTGAATCCTTGATCGTGTGGAGCGTAA